GCACTGTACAGTAAATGTACGGTTTTACTTTCAATAAAGGTTGAAGCAAAGTTCAAGATAAGCAGTCCAAAGTCATTCACAGGTAAGATCAGTCAGTTTTCAATCCAGGGATAATCCAATAACAAAGTCCAGCATCATAAACAGTTCAGTATCAGACTTACATGAAATCCATGACTATCATTCAATTATGAGGAACGGCAATATTCTCCAACAGAAGGAAACAGAGACTGAGACTCTCTTCTGAGACTAAGACTAAGACTAAGACTAAACAACCCAGGTTTCTGGCTCCATCTTAAGGCCGTTTGAGAAACCACACCCAATTATACCTCCAGGACTCTCTTAAAGATGCAGTATTAAAATGTCTATCCTGGTTTATATATTTCCAACCCAAATACCTGTTAGGTGACTTATATTCCTAATAATAACCACTGATTTGAAAGAGGAGTTAAGGGGGCCATTATGCCAACAGTGAACAACCTCTCTCAACAGAAGGGGAGGGATATGACATCATCTATCTCCAATCTACAACACAGTCCTTTCAACAGTTCCAAGAAACCCATTTGCACTACTCAAGTGACTCTGACAACACAGATAAACTTCCAGATGGCCTTAACAACCTGCTAAAAGAATGCAAATGACCAGCTGTCTGCAAGGAGTATAAATCCTTCCATTCCCCACCATCCAGTCAGAGCTAAAGAAACTTCTTGAATGAGAAGTGAAACATATTCAAAGAAAAATCAGAAAGTCCAGTTGCCTCTTGAAAAAAACACCCTTGGGACTTTCATTGGTCGGATGCCAAATGAACTGACCAGTTATACAGTGTAATCAAAAGGAATTTTTGTGAGACTAGACTGTGTTTTGCTATACCACTAACCCTGTAATAGTCTGCAACCCGCACCTAATGTCTATGTTTCAATTTAAATCTCAAAAGTGTGGAGGAAGATCTCCCATTGGGATTTTACAGATCAGAAAACTGGGTGAACTCGGAAGTCTGCAGTGTGAAAAAGAACTGTCTAATTAAAACCACCCACTCTTTAACATCGCAACCAGGAAACCAGAGCAAAATCTTCACTAAATGAAATTTGAAATCAAGGATAGGAAAACCAGATACAGAAACATGCTTTTCACAATCTTATATGGGGGAGTTTGGAACAAGAGTTGCATGTTTTAGGCTTTTAGGAGGCTTTTACTGTAGGCATGTAAATGCTCAGATATTTGAGTGCCCTACCTCCAAACTGAATGCATATTTTGTCTGCATTTCCTTGGCATGTTTCTTCAAGTACTTTGAATCATGATTTAAGCAAGTCAACATTCTAAGATCATGAGATACACCTGAAACATGAATTTGTTACACTGGCTGATTTTGTTCGATATCCTAGGTAATATCCTTGTGGTTCAGGATGTCATTCCAATGTATTCTACAATCATTTCATTGTGCACATTTACACAGTAAACCAAGAGTAAGCAACCTGATGGCCTCTGAATGCTTTGCACTATGATCCCAGTAGTTTCCAAGATCTCATGATGCTGTCTGGGGCTGATGGGATTTGAAATTTGAAATGTCTGGTTGCTTGATTACAGCTTGTACATATTGGGTTTGAGTATATTAGTAATAGCAATAACACTTAAGACTTATATACTTCTTTACAGTGCTTTACAGCCATTTTTCAGTGGTTACAGAGTCAGCATATTGCCCCCAACAATCTGGGTCCTCATTTTACCAACCCCAGAAGGATGGAAGTCTGAGTCAATCTTGAACTGGTTAGGAACGAACTGCTGACAGTCAGTAGAGTTAGCAATCTTGCATTCTAACTACTGTACCACCACAGCTCTTATATTATATTAAATAATTCAAGTTTAGTATAATTGAGAATGTCCTAGTAATTCATTAATTTAAACTCTACAATTTTGCTATTAAAATTTGTTCTTTTCATCTTTATTCTGAGTGTGTCAAAATCAGAAAACCATACATTTCCTGCTACTGACTGAGGTCTATAACAATTCACTGTGGCCAACTCACCACAGCCAACTCATCATGGCTATCTTGTTGCAGGACAAGAGTTACACTAATATCAAAGAAATGGTGGAATAAAATCACTAAAGAAAGGATGCAAAAGTAGGGACAGAATAAAATGTGAATGACAAAAATGATATATATAAAATTTAAATTTTAAAGTGTTCTGTGGCAAATTATCCCATAGTGACTTGGCCATGGTCAATTGGCCACAGCGAATTGGCTATGGTGAGTTGGCTGTGGTGAGTTGACCCATTCCAACTGACAGCAATAGATAGCACACATTCTTTATGGTGGAAGTTCTAAAGACATTTCATAGGCATGCTTTGCTTGATCTACTCCATTGCTAGCAAACCAAAGCCAGAGTCTGCTCTGTAATAATACAAAAGGACAATCATGTTACATTCATGATCATTAGCAGCATTGATATCCAATATATCCAAGACAAATGATCAGTTTGTTGGGAGAGAAAATGCCTTAATATTACTAAATCTTAAAAACAGCTAATCTTTTTAAAAACATGGTATTTGTTAACTATAATAACCACATTTTTTTAAATTCTCTCTCTCTATATATGGAGGGTATATATGTATAGTGCATACTGTATACATAGGCATTGCATTTGCAGAACTAAATGAACAAATTTCTTAAGGAATTTGAATGTTGATATTATACCAGCTCATGTCTCTTCCATGATACATTGGACAATAGCAATAGCTATAGCATTTAGACTTATTTACCGCTTTATAGTCCTTTACAGCTTGGTCTCTAAGGAGTTTACAGAGTCAGCCTCTTGCCCCCAACAATCTGGGTCCTCATTTTACCCACCTCAGAAGGATGGAAGGTTGAGTCAACCTTGAGCCTGGTGAGATTTAAACTGCCAAATTGCAGGCAGCTAGCATGCAGCAAAAGCAGCTTGCAGTACTGCACTCTAACCACTGTGCCACCGAGGCTCAATAATCACTGTTATTCCACAAAATATGGTCGTATTTTTCTACAATGGCTTGTGACTGATGAGGCAACACGGGAGAAAGGAATAGGTGGCATATCTAAAGGAAATATATTCTTTAATTCCATTTTTACTGTAGGCAGAGTCATGTAAGGATGAATCTGGTAACAGTTTTTTTTCCATTGACACATTTTATGAAAATGCATATATTTTTGTAATAATAACTCAGTAATGTGTATGCTAACGTATGTAAATCAGAAATGGTCCTACCAGACTCCTCCTGATTTAAAGCCATTTTCAGTTTTCTTGAAGAAGAAAACTTAACTTGAACTGTTTAACATTGAACATAGACAATATTTCTGAATCACATTGATTTGATTAATTGTATGACTAAATGCTCTGTAGGTGAAACCCCATGTAGTCTTTTAATTATGTTGTCCTTTGGTTCAGGTCTTTAATTATATTCATCTGAAATAAATTATAAATTGTATGGCTCTTTGTCTCCGATATCTACATCAAGTTTTTGTCTGTGGGTTTGTCATATCTTTCCAAAACTCCTCAAAGAATTTTCAGTCCTTGGTGTTCCCTGAGTTTGGTGGTTTTCTTGCAGATGTTTCATTATCACTAGGTAATATCATCAGTACTTAGTAATGAAACATCTGCAAGAAAATCACCAAACTCAGAGAACATCAAGGACCCCACAGTTCAAATCTGAGCTACAAATATTCTCTTTTGCTAATTTTCAATCTCTTTCATCTTATATCACAGCAACTTTGAAAGATTTAGAATGTAGTATCTTTCTTAGGGTTTTCCTTGCTAACCATTACAGATCTAAAAAGATGTTTTGAGTATTACTAGCAGCAAACAACTCAGTTGCAAGACAGAGGAAAATACAACTTGTTGCAATACAGAGGAAAAATAGTTCTCATAACCTTAATTATATATCTAGATTGAAATATATTATTTGAAGATGGTTTAAAAAAGATTATTTAACTTACTATACCAGGAACTCCTCTGCAAGTAAATATACATTATTTGTTAGTACTGCATCTAATAAATAGCTCATTAGAATCTGCAACTAAAGATTTTTAAATCTATAATTGTTGCTTTTCAATGTTTTGCCAATGTCTCTGTTTACCCTGTAAAATTGTCCTCACTTCTCTAATTGCCTTTTTTAATGATCTATGGATTCCCACTCTTTCGAAATTCATTTAAATTTCTAATCAGCGAGTCCTAGTGTTATGATGTGAAAAAAGGTCTTGTAATCCACAATGTAGAATATATAAATTATTCCATATTGATTAATGTATAAAAAGGAGAGTGTATCACCAGTATACTACATTTGTAAATCAAGAGTTTCTTATAAAGTATGGCATACTTGTAGGTTGTGAAACATACAAACATTCTGCAAAAATGTGTTTGTCAGAACAAGGAGTCTCATTAACCAATTTCATTTAGGAAGTGAGTAAGATAAGATTTCAATTGTAATTTGTTGTTCACCCAGACTCTGGGTGTAAGGGAATTGATTCTGTGAAGTGTTATATATTACCAAAGATTCATCCTTCCACCAGGAGGTTCCAGATTTATGATTTAAGACAACAGAAAATTCAATATCAGTAACTCAAATAAAAAATGAACAGCATAAATTGGACTTCAGTGAAAAACAGCCAGAGTCTGGGTCCCATTAAGACTATGGTTTTAACTTTCATAATGGAAATACATTGTTAAACTTTGTGTATCATCAAACCATCAAGGTTTCTTGGCACTTTATCATTTTTAATGGCTTCTCAGAAAGGCTATGATGGAATCAAGGCTTTAGTTTTAGAATTTCAGTATATATTTATGAGTCTTCTACATAAAGTTGATTTTTTTGTGTGTGAGCTTGTTATCCATATTTGAGAATGTTTGGTGCTTCCTATTCTATGTGATATACAGTTATATTCAGTACTCCATTTGTCATGCACAAAACATCGTATTGAAAATGGGGCAATGGGAAGAAATATGTGTTTTTATATGTATGTTTTACTTTAATCATAGAATGAAGAAGGTCTTACACCAGAAGGAAACACAAATCCAGCAGATCCAGAAAATGAGGCCTATGAAATGCCGCCTGAGGTAAATCTGTTTCTGACATCTTCCCACAAAGTATTCCAGTAATGGTTGCCTAATTTAGAAGATGTGACACTGTCCGTTTCTGTTTGAAATATAGGTAGTCCTCGACTTATGACCTCAACTGAGCCCAAAATTTTTGTTGCTAAGACATTTGTTAAGTGAATTTTGTTCCATTTTACCACTTTCCTTGCCACAGTTGTTAAATAAATCGTTGCAGTTGTTAAATTAGTAACATGGTTGTTAAATGAATCTTTGTTTCCCATTGACTATCCTTGTCAAAAGGTGATCAGGTGACTCGGATCATTACAACAGTCATAAATGTGAGTCAGTTCCCAAGCATCTGAATTTTGATCATGTAACCATGGGGATGCTGCAGTGGTGTAAGTATGAAAAACAGCCATAGATCATTTTTTTCAGTGCCACTGTAACTTCAAACAGTCACTAAATGAACTGTTATAAGTCGAGGACTACCTGTATCTTGGGAATAAACATATCTGGCATTTATTTATAGGGAACAAGCTGGTAAACCCTGAGATGGTGAATTCACCCTCAAGAAATTTCGAAATGGATGTTCAGGAGAAATGGATGTTGAGGAAAGCAAGTGGAGCTTTGATAAAAGTAGTGAAATTTCTAATCTCTGAAAGCTCATAAATTGTCATAATGACATTTACGGTCAAAATCAATCTATTTCTTGCTGTCAAAAGTTCTATTTGCATCAAAAGACAAGTGGGTAGAGAAATAGAAACAAGAAATGAATTGATTTAAAAAAAAAAATTATGTGCATTATTATTCCAAGGTTCTATTTTAGGAATGCCAGTAACCTTTCTGCAAAAAAAAGAAAAAAAAAATAAGCTAAACATTTTGTAGACATCTTTACTACAATCACTCTGGCAACAACAAAAATTACTCAGCTATATGAAAAACATAACTATGGTAGAGCCAGTAGACAAAATACTTTAGAAGTTCTTGAATTACAATCCCTTCATTTGAGCCATTAACTATTCTGGATGCGGCTGACAGGAAATTGAAATCCAATAACAGTTTGAGAATCTTGTCTCAGCTTTATGCTACAAAATGCCCACCAAAGGCATTCCTTTGATCACAGTCTCAAAAAAACAACAAAAAAAAAACAACCACAACACAATTTCTAAAACATTAAATGTAGAAATATATATGCAACCCTACAACCCTAATTATGCCACACCTCAAAGCTGTTTTAAATGATAGATTTCAACAAAATGTTTTCACCTCTTCTTTCTTACAGCATATCCTGTCTCCAAATACAAAATGAGAGATTTTAAGATTGTGAATGAGAGCATTTACAGCATTTTTCAAAGGATCGGCACCATTCAGGAGTGCATATTTATCATGCATAAAGACATTTATCTTTTTCCTCCTCTGTATAACTGACAGAGGCATATGGATTGGAGGGGGAGGGTTATTCCTGAAGGCAGACGTTACATAAATGAAGCCGCATTTCTGAGGTCCCAAGATATGGCATTGTTTAATCAAAGGAACCTGAGAACTCTAGCCATGTTAGATTAAACCGACCAGGCAAATACTAGGGGAGATAGGCAATCTGCAAAGCAACCAGGCTCCATGCCATATAATTCTTTATAGGCAGTGACCCACATCATGAATCATACCCACAAGTCAACAGGCAATCTTACAAAATAGTGGTATTACCTGGGCATATGATGACTGCCCATGCTACTTCTTTCTGGAGCAGCTGAAGTTTCTGGTTGGTCTTCAAGGGCAGGCCCATGTAGAATGCATGGCCATAGCCAAGAATAGAAGCAAGGATTTCCTCTTCAGGGAATGGATCACCAATAGATGGGATGGAGATATATTCAATCTTCTAGGCTCCTTTTTAAAAAAAATATGCGTTCCTCAACTAGCCTATCTCAAAGAAATGAGAAAACCAAAAGGAATTTCAGGAAAAGGAATAAAGAACCTGATTACATTCGTAGTAGAAAGCACAACTTGGACAGATTTTCTCATTCCAAGATCCTTAGTATGCATGATATACCACACACACACACAAAATATACACACATAAACATAAGAGAGACAAACAACAAACACACACATTAAAAGAAATGAGTCTTGTTTCAGTCTATCCTAAATACCCCTCAGATGTGTCCACCTACACATTCTATTCTCCACAGCTTACAAATCTTGTAGGAAACTTGATCTATCTCTGATACAAGGAATTATATTTCTTGAATCTACATCAGCCCCTTTTTGCAGATAATAACTTAGAGGTACCCAACTAAATCCTGACACAATGCAGTAGGAAATCAAAGACAAAGCATTGTTTTGGAGGTGGGTTTTTTTTTTCACCAGAGATTTCTCTTAGCAAGACAATTCTATGTTCTCCTAAAAGCTCTACAAAGTTCAAGGGATTAAAATATATCTCAGGATGAAGACTAAACAGAAACAGGCCCCCATTACCTTTTATGCCACTGTTCTGAGATCTACTGAGAAGAGAACTGTATTTACAGTAAATACAGATCTCTTCTTCTTGCAATCTTCCATCCATCTCAGATCTGACAATCTACCACTTAGTGACTACATTTTATTCTGAATTGAGATTTTCTCCTTCTTTCTGTTCCAACAGGAAGAATACCAGGATTATGAACCAGAAGCTTGAATCTCCTCTCTTTCTTTCTTTCTTTCTTTCTCTCTCTTGCTACCTGTCAACGAAAACATCTTGTCCTGTACAAGTGCTGAGTTCCAATGTGTAAACTACTTTTTATAGTTTTTATAGTGTCTTGAAGTTTTCCATCCGCAGTGAATGGAGCATCTATAATTGTTTTCAGTTTCCATGTCTGTGACCAATCTCCGCCTGAAATGGAGCCTGGGTCCAAGAGCCATTGCTGTTGTCTGGATATTGTGGCTTCAAGTTCTAAACACCGAAAACAATTTAAAGAACACCTAAGTGTCTACTCCTTATTTAGAAAGCTGTAAATGTTTTATTGCTGGATCATTGGTAATTTAGTATCGTTTATGGTATGGAAGTTTTTAAAATGTTTTCTATGGTCATTCTTTGTTGTCTGAGAATGACCTCATTGTGAAAGTTGTTAATATATTTCTATACATATATACATATATATAAAGTAACTCAGCATGAACTATGCACCTATAAATAAATATTAATTGTGAGATATTACTGTTTTGTGATAGGTTTTACTAACCTGTATCTGTAAATAAAGATGGCCAACTGGAAAAAATAAAATGCATTGACTGTTCAAAGAGGAACTACTAAGTTGGCTCTGAATAATTTGTCCTTCCCATCTCAAAATGTTCTTCTTAAGGTAGCTTCACATACATATTAATAACTGTACAGGTTGACTGCTGTGAATAGAAACACAGGGAACTACAGGTAGTCCTCTACTTATTACCAGAATTTGAGCCCACAATTTCAGTTAAAAGACATGACAAGTCACCATATGACCACACCTGATTTCATGTCCTCTTTTGAGGCAATCATCAAGCACATAAAGAGGCTATTAAATGATCCTATTTTTCACTAATGGTATCTCACCACCACCCCAGAACCTAGAAGTGAAGATCAGTTTCTAGGAAAAAAAAACCCAAACATAAGTTGCAATTATAGGATGCTGAAAGGGCCATAAATGCAGGCGGTTGCTAAGCACCCAAAATGTGGTCACATGACTACAGGGGAGGTCTGGATGTCAGAATTTCAAAGTGACCAATCGTAAATCAAGGGTTGCCTATCTAACTAACGTTGGAACAAATCAAGACACCAGCTTGCTTTGGAGTCTACCATCTGCCCTTCTTAACTCCACTTCTCTTCCAAACAATATTCTGCAGGCTTATTATAGTTTTAAAAGCCTAAAGCTGAAAAAACAGCACGTGAAATGACAACGGGGTAAATGACAATGTGTACCGAGTGTTTAATAGTTTTTGTAATATAAGATAAATGTTGGAAGAGGAGTTTATCAATAGTTTTTAATCATTGCTAGCCCAGCAGGGCGTTCATAATGACCTTTTCGTAGCATTAATCTCCTTCAAAGGGAGAATATAAATGAATCAGTTGGTGAAGAATTGGGGAGGATTATTGCCTTTACCGCTGTTTGTAACCAGTAAGTTTGGAAACATTTGGCTGATTACAGTAGAAGTCACAAATCATGATGTTAATGGCCCATCAGACTGATCCACAAGGGTTCTTTTTCAATGTGTGTTTAGTTAAGATGATTTATGCAAGCTTATCATAAAAGTTTCATTGTTAGGAAATATCTTTTTAATATTTTATAAAGCAGAATAGAAGTATACTCAGCTTTGGCCTGATTCTACTTTAACACATTTTCTGGACACAAGAGTTGGCAAACTTAGTAACCACGTAGCAAACATTCCCTTAAGCAAAGCATATGCAGAAAATAAAATGTATTTTGCCACCGACGTGTTGGAAGATGTCATCAATTAATTATTTACGATATGGTGCTACTGAATTGTCATTTTATTGCCTTTTCTTTTCAGCCAAGTGCCTTTGGAAAATATGAAACATTTATCCATGAGATGAGAGCAATGCTATCATTTTGTTACTTGAATCTTCCCCTTGTCCCCACGCTTTTTAGCTAAACATCACCCAAACTATTCATGGTGCAAGATTATTTGCAGCCATGCTATTGGGTTCATTTGCCTTCTTGAAAACCTGCCCTCCCATGGCTGAAAAGTTTCCTGCCTATAGGTTTTTATGGTTGCCACGGTAACCCTCCGTGTGAGTGTGTGTGATGTGTGGATATGAAACGCATGAATAATATGCTGCATTTTAATGAAATTCTTCGAGAGTTGGCAAAGCCTCTTTCCCAGATAAAAGAAATGTCTCTTTTTGTTTGATTACCTGCATATCTACAAAGACCAGCTGAGTTTGACCCCAGCAAATGAAACCCATACAATGATCAGATGAACAAGAACCAAAAGATACCTTGTCTTGCGATGTAGACTTTGAGTATCAGGCAATGCTGCCTGCAGAATAATACATGAGGTTGTCTAGGCAATGAATGAGATGCAGAAATATTGTTACTTACTCTCTGCTTTTGCCTGGATGGAGGCTACCTTTTTAGTAAGTAGTAACAATGGATCAAGGGTGCATTCCATCAAGTGGTAATCTGGTTGATTTTGCCACTTTGGGCAGATTGTTGCAAATCAGGAACTAACCACACCAGTAAGTCTTGTAATAAAACAGATTTAGATGACATTAAAGTCTGTCTAACAACCCTACACTGTTCCTGACCAATATACTTTCCTCCTTGATCAACCTATGGATATAGAAGTTGTTTTAATTTGAATCCTGGGATTGGCAGCATTTTGGAGATAATTTCATCCAATCTCTTGATCAAAGGAGGAGAGATAAGATAGCTTGCCACAGCCAGCCTTTACTTCATTTGAAAAAAATTATCACCATCTCTTATATTATCATAAACCAACCACAGTCTGCTTCCTTACAATTTCTACACATTTTTAATCTAAAACACTGGTCCAGTAAAGAGCACGTCCACTCCCACACTGACTTGTTTACTGCATAAAATGGGTTCACACAATATGTTAAGTCATATATCATGGTTTCCATAATGCCTAGGTTGATGCATATTTAAAAAAAGAGCTGTAGCGATACAGTGGTTAGAATGCAGCATTGCAGGCTAATTCTGCTGACTGCCAGCAGTTTGATACTGACCGGCTCAAAGTTGACTCCACCTTTCATCCTTCCAAGGTCAGCAATTTGGCTATATCATTTTTTTTATTATTATTGTGGGCACTTCTATTTTAAGAATAAAAGAAAGCCTTTTGTGAATCATTTCCTTTCTTTAAAATAACAAAATATCATCCACTTAAAACTAGATCCAGGCTATTTGGGCAAAGCTACCTGGCATTTAAAAATATTTAAGAAGCTCTTCTGATCTAAAAATGCCTGACAGATTGAAAAACTGTAGGTGGGAAGAACGCATGAGAGAACCAGAAAAGTAGGTCAGAGGAGAGCCATTACTTTTAAAAGAATTCCAGGGAGTAGGAAGGAAATATTAATCTGAAGACAAAAAAATATGGTTCCCTTTACAACTTGAGCGCCATGAGATTGAAAATTTGAAACATTGGGATTGTATGATTGGCTGTACATTTTTAAAATAACATCTCTCAAGATATATTTGCCAAAGTAACACAACAGGTTAGAATAGGGTTTCTCCATCTTAATAATTTAGCAACTTCAAGATGGGTGCCTAATTCAGTTCCCAGATTTTTCCAGCTAGCCTGTGGATTTCTGGGAGTTGAAGTCCATACATTTGAAAAGTTGCTAAGGTTGGGAAACAAAGGGTTAGAATCTTCACCACGATTTCATTTTGAATTTATCTGGATCAACTGTTGTTGGGTTGTTTGTTTTGATTAAGGAAGACCTGTCAGATCTGGCATCAAACTGCTTCAGCTTTGCTTCATTTTGATGTTCGCTTGTCATAAACTCTGGGAAATGGGGAATGGGGGGATATAGGGAGGGAGGATGATACGAACCAGAGGTCCAACCAGAAGCAATGGTTGAGAGATCCAAGGGGACCAGACTGGGAAAGGAATGCAAACACCAACCAAAGAGGCACCAAAATGTGGAACTGTTGCTAAAACACCTAGTTTGAATCTTATTAGATGCCAGCAAGATGATCAAGTGGGGAGGTCCTGGGAGAAGGCAAGATTATCAGGTTTACGTGGAAATTCCTCAGATCTGGTTTTACTAAGCTGAAGCCACTTAGTTTCAGTAAAAGTACACTTTTCACTACACGCGGAGTTGAGGGTCTTTCTTTCCTGAATACCTACGGTAGGACAGGTTTGATGAGGCCATTCAAACCTTCAAATCACATCTTCTTTCTGGTAGGAAATCTTGATCACATGAAAATGTATTCTCACTTTTGCTTACAAGGTAAGAAATTGGAATGGTGGGTTATGCTTAGCCTTCATTCTCCCTTTTTAAGAGGGGGCAAAAGGCTAGTCATTCCTTTTTAACCAGGCTTTCATTAGTTAACATTTTTTTAAAATTTTGTATGATCTTTTGTTTCCGTTTTTTTTCCTTATTGCTACCTGAGGGAAATAAACAATAATAACAAATACATCTTGCAGTAGATTGCTCGTTTCAATTTTCTATAATATCTGTAATACCTTCAGCTATCCCATGTGTTAATTAAATAATAAACCATGTTGTGTACCTGCTTGTAAGCAAAACAGCTGAATGGATTGCAATTTTGTGCAATCTACTGAGCATTCTTAAATAGATTAAAAATTCAAGAAGAGCCAATAAAATTGTAGGGTTGAAGGGAATCAATATCTCCCTAAATAGCCTTCCAAATTTAATGTTTTACTTTTAAAAAACGGCATTAGACAAAGGGTAGCTAAAATGTTGTTAAATGAATAAGTAAATCTCACAAGATTTCAGTATTTTCACATGAGATCTCTCAAGATGGTAGGACAGCAGTGAAAGTTCATCACACTGAATGCAGTCAAGGAGATAGCAGGAATACAGCAAACTTAGAAATAATTGTTAACATGGTGTCAACATTCCAAGTAACAGCCCCATGGAAAGCAGAACTCTGAGGCAGACAGGTTCCTGAAAGAACAGTTTTATTGGATATATCATATTGGCACAAGCTGATGAAAACCGAGTCTGAAAGTTCCTGCAATTTTCACCTGATTAAAAGTGAAAGTTTCCAATAAAGGTGCTGGCCAGTTGCCTGGTTACTTCACCCCTTCCTTCCTCCAGCCACCTGTTGGAAAGTCCTTGGTTCCCACAGAAAGCTATTTTGTTTTTGTTTTTTGCTATAAAACCCCCCACCTAATTATGTTCCCTCTCCTAATCCTTTCTTCACATTGTGGCAACCCTGAAACCTTCCAAATGGCCCCAACCACATTCACTTCAGAATTGACACATAGTTGATTATCAGCTGAATTTAATTTAAGGAGACAATTACAGGTAGTCTTCAACTTATATTGATTTAGTAACTGTTCAAAGTTACAAAGGCACTGAAAAATAAGTGATTTATGACTGTTTTTTACATTTATGACCATTTCAACACCCCCATAGTCATATGATCAAAATTCAGATGCTTGGCAACTGGCATGTATTTATGACAGTTGCAAAGTCCCAG